AAGAGAAAGAAAAAAAAAAAAGAGAAAGAAAAGAGATTAGTTTCAAGAAAAGATAAAAAGAGAAAAAAAAAACTAGAAAAGAAAGTCAAAAAGATGGCAGATTTAACGTATATTTGTAAAAGAAAGTTGTTAAATAAATTATGGGAAGAGCTTCCAAAGAGTTGGAAGATCTTAATTGTTGATAAATATGCATTAAAAGTAATATCATCATTTTGTGGGATGGATGATTTATTAAATGCAGATATTCTTGGTTTGTATAAGTTTAAAGAAATAAGAGAAAATAATAACAAGTAGATGTCAATAATTTGGAAAAGAAGCGAGAACCATTTATGTGTCCAGCATTATATTTAATATCACCAACAAAAGAATCAGTAGATACTATTATTAAAGAATTTGAAGATGTTGCACATCCACAATATTCTAGTGCATATGTAGGATGTATTAATGCTATAGATAAAAGTATGTTTGATAAATTGAAAGGGACACCAAGAATTAAGGAAGTTCGAGTGATTCCACTTGATTTTTTAACTATTGAACAACGAGTTTTTTCATTAAATAATCCTAATGCATTTTATTCATTATATTCAAAAGAAAGTACAGTAGAAGAGAAAGAAAAAGAGATAGAAAAGATAGGGAAAAGTTTATCAACATTATTATATTGTTTAAATATTAATCCAGTTATTAGATATATAAATAAACCTAATGAAGAAATAAGTGAAAAGATAGTAGAAGCCGTTCAAAAAGGATATGGAGAAATTTCAGGATGTCCAGTTGTAGAAGCATTTAATCCAGCCGAAAAAACAACGAGACATTTAAATTTAATAATTGCGGATAGAATGTTTGATTTAATAACACCATTAATGACGGAATTTACATATCAAGCAATGGTATATGATTGTCTTGAAGTTAAAAAAGATAAAGTAGAAATTGAGAGTAAAAGTGGGAAAAAAACGATGGTATTAGAAGAAAGTGATAAATTTTGGAGAATTATTAGACATGAACATATAGCGAATGCATCACCATATGTTGTTAAAGAATTTAATAAATTTATTTCAGAACATAAAGGATTAAGTGGGAATAAAGGAGCTAAAGATATGAAACAAATGGGAGAAATGATGAAACAATTACCAGAATATATGGATTTAATGAGTAAATTTAGTAATCATATGGAATTAATTACACAATGTTTTAATCAAATGAAAGAAAAGAAATTAGATGAATTTGCAACAGGAGAACAAATTATGGGAACAGGAAGTGATGTAGATGGGAAAGAAATTAAAAAAGCACTTCCATATATTACATCAGCGGTAGGGAATATTACATTTCCTATAGATAGAAGACTTAGAGAAGTATTAATATATTTAATTTCACAAGAATATAGTGAAGCTGATAAAAATGCATTAATTGGAACATTAAGAGGGGATGAAAGAATTAAAAAGATAATAGAGAATGGAATGACATTACCAAAAACAGAAAGAGAAAGAAATAAAAGTAAAAAAAGTAGTAAAGAAGAGAAAGAAGAATTTGAATTATCACGATATAAACCATTTATTAAAGAAATTGTAGAAAGAATGGCAAATAATGAAGTTCCAGAATATTGTATTTTAAATAAACTTGATTTTGCAGGATTTCCAGTTAATATTGAACAAAAAACAGGGAATATTACCGTTGCAGCTGGAAAGTCATTAAAAAAACAAAAAGCAAAAGAAGTTACACAAGAAGGACAATTAGGTACAAGTAAAACAGATAAAGTTAGTGAAAAAGAATTATTAGGAAATGAATCGAATATTTTAGTTATTTTTATTACTGGAGCAATTTCATATTCAGAAATGCGAGTTGCTTATGAATTATCAGAAAAATTAAAAATTAATGTTTTTATTGGAAGTAATTATATTGCTACACAAAATAATTTTGTTACTTTATTAGAATCATTAAGTAATCCACCTAATACTGATATTTCTTCTCAACTTCTTTAAGTTCTTTTAATTCTCTTTTTTTTT